ATATATATATATATATATATATATATATATATAAATTAATTTTGGTGATAATTGTTGATAATATAATTAATTATCGCAATATTTATATATTTGTTAAATGTTTTTAGACAATGTAATTTTTTTAAGTTGAATAAAAATGTACCTCTGTGTGTAGCTCTTCTCCATAACAATACCATGATTATATTCACTGATCATATTCACCATCTCTGATATCACTAATACAGCAGAGAGCAGTGTGATGATATAGGCCATTGTTTTCTGGGGAACAACTGGGAAAAATTGTTTAATTTTATAGTCTAAATATAAACAATCCAAATGGAAATAATAAAAAATAAAAATAAATTCTAATTTTGGAAGTTCCTGAAAACTAAGTACTGATTTAGGAAGTCTATTGCCAGAATATGAAAAGGATATTACGAATAAATAGGTATGTGAGCAATAAAGCATGCTTTACCATCAGCTATCAGTTTAGTTCCATTTCCAACGATTAGCTTTCCACATGTGACCACACTGCAAAAGTAAGTTTCATCACTGGCCAGGCTTTTAGGGACTTTGTGCACACAGCTCTGTACAGTTGATACAGTCACAGAGATCGTCTCACATTGATCTTTTCTGTCTCCATCAGTGTAAATGATTCCTGAATGGGACTCTCTTCTAAGCCAGTAGACACTCTGCCCTCCTGAACAACTTGCACCAAAGATTGAACAATGAAGATTCACTGAGTCTCCTACATGATGTGAGTCCAAAACAGGATGCTGAATGATTTTAACTGGCTTTGCATCTGTAATGAAAAATAATATACTTTACGGTAGCAATAATAATAAAACAAGCTTTTTAATCAAAATTAAATATCACAGATCTCACATTCCAAGTTTCCACTCACCATTAACTGCCAGATAAGTTCCCCCTCCAAAGTACAGCTTCTCATACAGTAGCACACCACAATGGTCTCTGGCATCTCTGGAGTTAATCTTGGTGAATATTAATGCAGATTTCTTGTCATCGACTTTGAATTGAATTCTTGATTCGTTGAGAAATTCTTCTTGAAGTTTTATCTCCTGGTAATATGTGGAAACTATAGGGTTCAACTTTTGTCCTGGGATTTGTTTCAGCCAAAACCAGGCCACAACCAGATCGGCAGTTGTGTGGCATTCCAGGATGACCAAACCACCCACTGATGCTGTGATTGAGACATTTGGCTGCAAAACACTGGGGATCATAGATACACCTGAAATAAACAAAGAAAAGTCCTGATGAGTCAAGGGAAGTCAATCATTTTACATATTTTTTTTCTATGCATAAGTAGTGGAGTCCAAACGTCTGAGGCATAATGAACATTTGGGATGTTTTTTATTACAAGATTAATGTAAATTAAACTTTACTTTATTTTACGTGGTAACTTTTATTAAACTTTTAAACTCATATGTTAATATAATTTGTAATAAAACATATTTAAAACATTTAAAAGTATTTCTAAAAATAAATAAATAAATGATAATATGTATATGTATAGATTACTTACATGATATGTAAGACATAAGAACATATGCACGCAGAGCAAACATCTTGAGAGCTGGCATTAGAGCAGTCTCCATCCTGAGGACGAAAGGAGAATATGGTATAAAAACTGAAAAAACTCATTAACGTTTCCATGAGAATAAACAAGTCTTTGACCTAGTGGACTTCCTGCAGTCAACACAGTACAAATGCCATGCCCCAAAAGACAGATAATCCTTATTAATCCATGTTATGAAAAGAGAAATGACAAAATGCAAAATGAATGAAATTGAAATGAAATTACAAAATCAGACAAATATAAAATGCAATTTGAATATGAAACATTTAATTTTCCCTTCTTCATTTGCATCATCACTTTCCTGTACTGTACATAGCAGACTGTTATCACTCAATGGCTGGATGTCTAAGTGGTGCCCGCAGAATAACAT